ACAATCACACTCTTCAAAGTCATTACAAATAATTGCCTGAAGACGCTCGAGCACAGAACACACACTCCAGCACTGATCACAGAACAACACACACACACACACACACACACACATATAACAGCCTGATCTCATGAAGAAACATAACTATTTTACATTTAATGGAGCCTTTTAGGGTGTCACAGTGGCTCAGTGGTCTCACAGCAAGAAGGTCACTGATTCGAGTCCTCGGCTGGCTCAGTTGGTGTTTCTGTGTGGAGTTTGCATGTTCTCCCCGTGTTGGTGTGGGTTTTCTCCGGGTGCTCCGGTTTCCCCCACAGTCCAAAGACATGCGCTATAAGGGAATTGGGTAGGCTACACTGGCCGTAGTGTATGAATGTGTGTGTGTGTGAATGAGTGTGTATGGGTGTTTCCCAGTACTGGCTTGCGGGCGGGAAGAGCATCCACTGCCTAAATAGTTGGCGGTTCATTCCACTTTGCCGACCCCAGATTAATAAAGGGACTAAGCCAAAAAGAAAATGAATGAATAAATGAGTTGGTGGTTCATTCCACTGTGGAAACCCTCTAGCCCAAATATCTAGAAATTCTTAAAATCGAGAAGTATTTTCTAGACGAGTTAAAACTGTTGTGTTGTTTTCAAAAATAATGAGTCAAAAATAAGTGAGTTTTTCATTGAAACAAGCAAAATAACCAGCAACTGGAGTAAGCGAAATAATGTTATTTCTAAGCGAAAACTAGATTATTTTATTCCCTCATTGGCAGATTAACTTGCTTATTTTAAAGATGCCCTAAAACGAAAATCTGGGTATACCAAGGCATAGTAAAAACGAGACCTATGATACATGCCCTCTGCATTTGCATGTAAACCTACTTTAGGTCATTCATCCAGACAAGCAGCTGACGTCATCAAGAGAACACGACTCATATGCAGCTCAGAGATCATAAAAAGCTCAGAAGTGAATGCCTCAGCTTGTGTTTGATAAGTACAAACGATTTTTCTAGTTAGACAGTGATAACTTTCCTACCTTCGTTATTAGGTTGATACATTAGCATATATTTCACTCACTGTGTATGTGGAACTTT